TGATCTAATAAAACGTAAAATATAGTAAACAAGTCTATATTTATTATTTTATATTTTACAGGAATAATCTTGCGCTTCAAGAACGTTACCGTTTTAGTTAACGTTAATAAATAACGGAACGCTAAAATTATATTATGCCAAAACTCTCCATTACTTTCTTCCGGATCACCAGGTGGCTCTAAACGACGGACCTATTTGTTTTATATCAGTGTCCAATCTATCTCTAGTACGTGACATTGGTCTATGGTATGAACTCGCCTTTAGATTTTTGACGCTTGTCAAAGTCTTGCCAAATTATAGGTTATAATTTTGTGTCAAATGCCCTGCGTTTTGGAAGATGATGCATTTTGTGTCGTGTTATTACGTGTGTTTTGTGTCTTTTGAAGTCAAGTGGATGAAAAATCGAGTGAAAATTAACTGTAGATCTAGAGCACAGTTTATGGTTAATACTCGCTGCCCAGGCAGAAAGTTTTATACACCAATAAAGTTACAAGTTACCATCAATAAAGTTTGTATACCATCTCGTCGTAGATAAGTGCATCTGGAATATGGTAGGACCATACTAAACACATACTAAAAACTGGAGTAGTAGTAAATAATGGATTTTAGTACTGCAGAAAAATAATGTAAAAAGGTAATGGTTTAAAAAAATTCAGATTAAAGTTGAACCTTTCAGATTCAAGATTAAAGTTCAACCAAAAATCAACCTTTAAGGTATAAAATTTGGTAAGTGTTATTATTAATAAAATAGTTTGTTTTATTTATGTTGTTTGATTTATTTCTGTGGAATATTACAAATTTGTATTTGTACACAAAATTGTAAAATAAAATGAGGAAAGTTTCTTCAAGCTTGAAAGTAAGAAATAGTTCCTTTTTATATTTTTTTGGTATGTGGTGTTTTGTTCTTGTTTGTTTTGTATTAACATACCGTTTTTTAAATAAAATAACTCGATTACATTTTTTAAGTTTTATACAGTTTTTTTCACAATATTTTGAAGTATAGTCTGTCCAACGAGAAGATCCTTGACAGTGATAGATGTGTCTGTCATTTTAATTTCAAACTAGTTTATTTTATTTTACAAAGAAATAAGTTGGTACAACTGGAACGCATAGCAGGAAATATTTAAAATTTGATTGACAAGATGACAAGTGATTACTTCAAAATATTGTGAAAAAAACTGTATAAAACTGAAAAAATGTAATCGAGTTATTTTATTTAATAAAAACGGTATGTGTTAATACAAAACAAACAAGAACAAGACACTACATACCAAAAAAGTATAAAAAAGAACTATTATTTACTTTCAAGCTTTATGAAACTACCCGCATTTATGATTATATTTATCAATATAACTTATGTACAAATACAAATTTGTAATATTCCACAGGAATAAATAAAACAACATAGGTAAATAAAACAAACTATTTTAAACTTTTTAAACACCTACCAAATTTTATACCTTAAAGGTTGATTAATTAACTTTAATCTTAATTTTCTTAAACCAGTACCTTTTGACATTATTTTTCTGCAGTACTAAAATCCATTATTTACCTATCGTGTGATGTCGATATTTTACAGCTACTCCAGTTTTTAGTATGTGTTTAGTTTGAAACTTCTACCATATACGAGATGCACTTATCTACGACGAAATGGTATACAAACTTTATAGATGGCAACTTCATTGGTGTATAAGACTTTCTGCCTGGGCAGCGAGTATTAACCATAAACTGTGCTCTGGGTCTACAGTTAATTTTCACTCGATTTTTCCTCCACTTGACTTCAAAAGACACAAAACACACGTAATAATACGAATCAAAATGCATCATCTTCCAAAACGCAGGGTATTTAACAAAAGTTGACACAAAATTATAACCTATAATTTGGCAAGACTTTGACAAGATGACAAGCGTCAAAAATGACAAAAATCTAAAGGCGAGTTCATACGCATCGGCGTCCGTTTGTCGTTCATCGTTCCGTGAAACCAATAAAATTGATATACGATCTGTCATTTTTTAAATAAACCAATAAAACTGGTTAAAAACAACAAGACACGACGCATGACGGATTTATATTTAAACCCATCCATAGATAACTTAAAAATGATTAGAAACTTTTTTTAGTAAAATAAATAGATTGGTATGGGACGTCATCTGCTTTTCTTCTGTCATCGTCTGTCGAAATCTTACCTGAGAAAAAAAACAGAGTATAATCACTTGTCAGTCAAATTTTAAATATTTCCTGTTATGCGTTCCAGTTGTACCAACTTATTTCGTTGTAAAATAAAATAAACTACTTTGAAATTAAAATAACAGACACATCTATCACTGTCAAGGATCTTCTCGTTGGACAGACTATATTATAGTTTGTCCAACGACAAAATCCTTGATAGTGATAGATGTGTCTGTCATTTTAATTTCAAACGATTACTTCAAAATATTATGAAATAAATATAATTTTAAAAAAATAGGGTATGTGTTACAAAACAAACAAAGATGTGTGTAAAACAAAAAACCACATACAAAAAATCTATAAAAAAGAACTATTTCTTACTTTCAAACTTCCAGAGAGATAGGTTAGGTTAGGTTATAGAGAGAGATAGGATTAAAACCAATATCTTTTGACCTACAGAACTAAAACCTATTACTATTATTTACCTATTGTGTGATGTCTTTATTTTACAACTATTCCAGTTTTTAGTACTATATACGAGATGGTATACAAACTTTATTGGTAGCTTTTACAACTCTCCACCTTACTTCCCCTGTTTTTCCTCCGCACTGAACTTTAAAAAGCACAAAACACGCGTAATAACTCAAACCAAAATGCAAAAACAAGATCGCAAATATTTCTCATTCCAAACCAAACCAAACACTAGTTATTTGCATGTTATTTGACATAATTTGACACAAATAATAACAGTTAATTTGACGACAAAATTTTGACAAGTCTCGAAAAAAAAACAGAAAAAGTTGAACAATAATTCTAAAGAAGCTAAACTAATATAATCCAAGCAATACACAAATCCATTATGTAATATTGAAACTTTTACACAAAGCGTCCTATATAGCAATCTTCTATTCTAATCAAGAATTTAAATAGTTTTTGACTGTAACAAGTTCAAATTTTATATTAAACGTCTTCAATACTTATAAACTATCTATAATTGCTTTGGAATCTTATCGAATAAGTTTAATTCTCAATTGTATTTCAAGACTTAAACTATGCGTTTCTAATAGCCGTCAAAGTCTCACAAGTGGATATCTCCAACCCCAATCACCCGCATAACATCAGGTAGTTTTCCAAGAACAATAGCTTTGACAAACTTATATTTAATCATTTAAATTATTCCTTTATAGCTTTGATCTAAATTTAAATCTATTAATTGTTTTTAACTTTTAGTAAATTTTGTCAAACATTGATATTTTTTGTGTTCTAAGATTGATATAAGACATTACCTGTAATAGTTGTAATCTGTTGAATTTATTGGATATCTATATTCGATACTAATTAAACTTTTAGTTACGTAATTGAGGACGCGACTTTAAATTAATTGTAGCCAACCACGCCGGGTTGACTAACTAGAATTTAAATTTTCCGCTGGGGATTCAGGGGGTAGCTCTGCTGTAAAAATGTCAAGTTGTCACATTTATTTATATATTTCCTGACATTGTCATTCGTTTTGACATTTGACACCTTAGTTTTTGGTTTAAATGAATTATTGTGTTGTGATAATTTAAGTGATAATTTAAGCTTTATTATATTTACTAGCAGACCTTGCAGTCAAACATTGTTCTTTTTTGAACCTCTTTTAGTGCGAAGATACAGTACAAGACAACGAAGATTTAGTACAAGATAGCTTAATAGCCGGAAAAAAACTCATCGCAACATTATTAGAATATTTTGAACGGGAAAGTGGTAGTTATGGCCCTTTATTACTTAAGTACTGTTAAGAAGGTGAGTTTTGTTGATGTAAATAATAACTCTTTATATATTTATAATTTATTTATTTTTGTTTCTTAAAATATTGTGATTAAAAGAAAATATGTGACGGTCAACGCTGTGCCGGTCAAACTTAATCACGTGACTAAAAGTTTATTTGATATAAACTATACGTCATGATATAAAATAATTCACGATCAACTGTCACTTTGACAGTCAAGACTGTCAGCAATCTAGTGAAGTGCAACAAACTAAAATATTATATTTACTTTATTAGATCACATATAACTCTTTTTTCCATAGCAACTGTTAAAATTGCCTTATATCTATCAAAAATAGTAGATAAAACAGTACTGTAACCGCAAGGGTAGATTAAATGATACTTTAACAGGGAGGATAGGTTAAACATTTTATTTCGTCTCGCACGTTTTTTAATTGGTTCCATTTTTGAAAATTTTTGTATTCCTTTTCATAAGTTATTCGGAATTTAAATGGAAGTAGTTTAGATATGGCGTTTGTCGTCTCAGCCTGAATATCTGTTGGTAATTTACTTATTTCGTTTTGAGCCATTTCTGGCTCCAATTCAATCAGCAATCAACACGAAAGAGAATTACAAAATATTGACTCAAAACTGACAGCTTTATTTATTTGTCAAATTACATAGAAACCAACGCCAACCCAGCTACTCGTAAGCTTTCTACTCGTAATAAATTCCTTGAAATAATGATTTCTGAATATTTTTTAAAACGTAACTCGCTACCAAACCAAAAAAATATTGTTTTATACACGACGATAAAATTGCATTATCGCCTCCCGAAATTAATACACTCGCGATTTCATCGCTCGTGAATTACTCTTTTCGGTCGACAATAAAATACCCTTTTATTGTCTTGTATAAAAAAGAACTATTTTAGTCTCTATTAAACTGATTTAAGTAGTTTATATGTAACTTTATCAACTCTATCATCTCTTCAGCTCATTAATTAATCAGCTACTTATTAATATCCCTCAAAACCTGTGATCAACCAGCCATAATTACCTAATAAATCACCTAACTTACCGATAGCAGTCAGGATGCCACAGAACCGCGTGAAATACACCAGGCAGTCGAAGGCCCTGTCGCAAAAACCCTCGCAGGACCTGGAATTCCTTGAGGAGGGAGCGTTACGCGACGAAACGCTGCCATCGACGCCAATGCCGACGAGGTTGGGTCCGAAAGTGGGAAACATCGCCCGGAGATCGGTCTCAGGCAATTAGTTTTCTCGGTGAGCGAAGGAACTTTTTTACTTTGCCCATCTGGCTGCAAGTTTGCCCAGACAGTAATTAAAGTTTCCAACAACTAACGGTTGCTTCTTTTGTTCCGAAAGTGCCAGATTTTCGAGGAACTAGAAAACACTGCACTACATGCAACGCGCCGCACTGTGAATTACGCGGCTCGCACGACGACTGCTTTTCTGTAACAAAAAGAAAATATATATAAATTAAACCTTAAATAACAATTACTACCGTATGATAAAAAAACGCTGGCAAAGACTACTGGGCAATGACAATCGATAACGATTTTGGCGAGGTCAATCTCTAGACGTCATTTACTAAAGATTGATATAAAACTCCAATTCAGTCACAAATTAACACTAATTATTTAAAGACTTAAAAAAATAGAACGTTTCCAGACACACACATTTATTTCCAAAAATAATATTTTTTTCTCGAATTTTAAAAGAGACCATTTAAAAATAATTTTTACTCAATATGAAAATAAATTACAACCTAAGAAGGTTGTAATTTATTTTAAGAAATGGGCAGTAAGTGCCACTAAAGAATAAAGAAGAATACAGGTCAAGTAAATGACATCTAGGACATGATCTCGCCAAAATTATCATTGATTGTTATTCCCCAGCCGCCTTAGAGGCCGTTTTTTTTTGGATCGTGTGGTATTTTAATATTATATCGAAAACCGTTAAATTAAATTCTGTATTAAAAAAATTACTAGTTTTGGATACCAAATAGCAGTGACAGCAAAATAAAACACTAATTCACCACAATACACCATCACTTTCACACATTCACTTTTGCACTGGACGCGCGTTTTGCTAACAGATTATTAAAACTCAGTGTTGAACATCTGCTGAGTTTTAATCATCTGCTGCTGATGCTAATGTGGATAGCGAATGGGGCGTCCAGTGCAAAACTAAAAGTGTTTTGGTGTATTGTGGTGAATTAGTGCTTTCTTTTGCTGTTGTAACGCCAAAGGTTTCAACCCCCAACTGTAACAGACATATAGTCATATAGTCTTATGTTTGATAGACTGTATCATTAAAACTATTTATGACCAAACTAGCTTTCTGGATAGTTATGGTAAAACAAATTCTCATGTAGTTGTCCATAAAATATATTTATCTATCATCTTTCAAATACTGCTTGATCATAGAACTTTACGATTACACTGTGTATACATCTCAATAAAATTAAGCATAAAATTAATATTAAGCTACCGGCGCACAGTACTTCGTCCCATGGACAAAAATCGAAAAAAAAGTTAAAATTTACTAATATCTGATAATGTAATTTTATACTTATAGCAATGTTCAACCATCCTGTATATTATTTTTCATAAACAGCGATTTTTGTTAGCAAATATTTTCACTAAAAATAAATTTTCCGATCATTATCTTATCAGTGAAAAGAATAACATTCATAGTAGTTCTGTATATTATGGAGCTAAACGGTACGTACTTAATTGAAAGCCACTATGGATATTGTTAAACACAAGGTATGTACTTTAAATTTATTTCTAAACAAGTTCGTGATTGTTTAGTTTTTATTTATTTTTTAAGATGATTTCTAAATGGGTATAAAAATTTTACGTTTTCAAACTTCAAAAAGGCATTTAAAAAAACATATCAAAACATATCGTATTTATTGAATATTTTTGTTGTCATATTCATACACTTTTAATTTTTGTATAGTTCACCTCCGTCTGCTTGCGACGAAGTTTATTTTATAATACTTTTCAGATGGAGTAAAATTGATAAGCAATGCCGATCTGGTTAATACTTGGCTTGATCATAAGGACAAGAACTCAAAATTATTTGTATTTCAAATAATATGCTCTTTATTAGATATTGATGAACCTTCCAGTCAAATGAGACACCACTTGTGCCTGAAAAAACCCACTATGTTGGAACGAAACGTCGCATAAAAAAGTTTCCATCTTTCAATTTATTATAAAACCTCATACCCAAGAAAAGGAAAAAATCATATATGGATATGGTCTATTAAAGAGGTAACTATTAACATCCAAACCCCTCATACCAACAAAAAGAACAGTAACAACGCGAAAAAGTAACATATTAGAAAATAATGTACAGAAATATCTTATATGTGAGGATAGTAAATATCTTATATGTGAGGTGTAGTAGGATCTACCTGTGATATGGATACTATAAATTTGGAAGCTTCTGTCAGCAGTGATTCTTCTGAATCAGAGTAGTTACGATCTATGCATTTTGTTGTCCTAAAGTACATTTATAGTAGGTATCTTAAGTTTTTTTTTAATTAAATATAACATTAATGTTTCTTTTTCATTAAAGAAAAAGCATTTTTATCTTATATTAGGCTTATATTGTAGGAATCATGTTCTAATGTTTTTTTTTTAATTAAATATAACATTAATGTTTCTTTTTCATTAAAGAAAAAGCATTTTTATCTTATATTAGGCTTATATTGTAGGAATCATGTTCTAATGTTATTTCAATTCTTTTTATTACAGGGATTTATTTAATACTTACACCGTTTTCATACTATAAATTATTATTTCCTTAGGTGGAACACAGCTCCAACATTTTTATTATTTATAAGATTTTTTTTCATAAACGTGGGACTAAGAACATCATCATTTAGTACAATGAGAGTACTCATCATTTGTGTCAAATAAACCTAGTTTGAATACATTGCCTACAATAAAAGAGTAGTTTTGCATTTTTGTCCTCTAGAACCATATGTTCGAAGCACTGTGCGGCGGCGCCCAGTTGGCTTGGAAATTATGAACGAATGCATTCCCCCATATAATTTTCCATACAAAATGACAGCGATCTTCATAATGTTCTTTTTTTAACTTTCTTCGAATCTAAAATAAACTAGTCAAAACGAATTAGGGATCACTTTGATAAATTTCGTTTAAACAAAGAAAATATATTTATTTAAACATATAAACTTAGCAATATGTTCCTTAGGAATTAAGTTTGAATATACTCATAGTACATTCAAACAAATAGTAGTGATATACTTCGTACCCTACGATGATTAGCAGTTAAATGCGGCACATCAGCTGCTCGCCTTGACCGAATGTTAACTTCATGCAGCCTATTTCTTATAGTCTGAGTTGAAATTCGAATTCCTTTGGTGATTGTAAAAAGATTTTGTAGGTTTCTTACGGTAAGTGTTCTTTCAGGAAGAGTGGCTTGAACAAGATACCGATCTTCCCGCCTCGTTATCCGCCTTGGGCGCGATTCTTACTGTACCGTCCCGCCACCGTCAGGTGTGTCGAGCCACCGCGCCGCGCCGGCTAGCTACCGGCCACCACGGTAAGTATTCTTAAATGGCTAACAATGAATATATTCACACTACCCGTAACGTCGCGTGAATAGACGTTGCCACGACGGGACGGCGACGTTACGGATAGTGTGAATATGTTCATTGTTGTCCATTGTTGTCCAATTTACCGTGGTGGCCAGCAGCTAGCGGCGGCGGCTCGACGTAACGGTGGCGGGACGATATAGTAGGAATCGCGCCTTACTCGTTGAGGATATGGTCTGCGGACAACAAAACCATATTCTCTGTGTCGATTCCACAGTCTGAAAATGACCGATTGTGTAACATGGAAAACCTGGGACACGTATCGTTGCGACCGACCGTCATGCAATAACGTTTTCGAGTGCGTCTTTATTGTTATTTTTTTATGACGGGAAATAATTTCGTTTTTTGCATCAATTATGCAACATGTGGATTATATGCATGAAAATAAACTAAATTGTTCTGATGATATGCTGCATGCGGAAATCGGTCTATAAATATAGTAAATACAGATACACATATATATATGACCACTAATTCGTTTTGATTAGTTAATATAATATCGCATCACTTTAACAACATTATTCAATAAATAATTATCAAAATCACTTCAATTATTAATAAATACCGTATGAATGAAAATAAAATGGTTGGGTTTTCAATAATCGATGACATTCACCATCGACCGTCATTTCTAATGCAAATAGAAGCGATTTTTTGGATCATTATAGTATTTCGGAAATTATCATACCAAGAACTAAATAAAAAAATAATATAATCCACTGGTCGTTTAAGCATGAATTCGAATTAATAAGTATTTTCAAAGTCACTTAAAATTACCAATACTCTCTGATAAGTGAAATAATGGACACTGTATATTAACAGATTAACTGTCTATTAAAGCTTCCCCTTTTGATGGTGTAATAAATAGTTATTTAGTAAGCATTATTACATAGGAAGCATCCATCCAAGATGCCAATTAAGATTAGCTAAATACAATCTGGTGAATATAGCTGTATCGGATAGCTTAATATAATGCCTTGTAGACAGTTGATATTATTAATTCGTAATTTATACTATAATAAATGAATAAATATTATTAATTTATATTACCGATTATAAACAATAATAAATATAAAGCTAATTTATTTTCCCTTGCCTATTTATTAGACAGGATTAGTCGTTAATAAGTGTAACAACATTTTTAGGGGTTACGACGAAATATTTTTAAGCGACGTCAGAAACACGTCTATGAGATTTTTTCGCATTTTTTTTAATTAGGCATTTAAAAAAACGATTTTTCTTAAATTTTTAAAACCATAATGTTTTGATAATATGGCAACATAGGTTAGTAGTAGTTTAAATTTACAAGAAAGGAAAAAATCCAGTAGTTTTTAAAATTTAATCAAATATATATTTTTTTTAATTTACAAAGTAAAATAATTCGGTTATTTTGGACTTTTTGAAAAACGGTAAACAAAAATATATTTCTTTTATCAACATCTACCAGCCCTGAAAATATTTGCACTTATTTAAGACTCACTCTGTATAATATATAGAATACATAAAGTGACAACAAAATCGTTATACACATCGCCATTTTATTATTTCTTCTTATAGGATAAATTTGAAATTGGGTACAATATTTGCATACTTAGTTCACGAGAGCTCACGTTTCTCAAAAAGCTATTAAATATACAGGGTGTAAAAGCTTTGGTCTCCATAAAAGCCATCTCACGTAGCGGGTACTCATGGAAAAATTTGATTTTGAATTAAAGAAGAAAAAGAAAAAGAAAAAGAAAAAAAAGAAAAAAGAGAAAAAGAAAAAGAACTTTAAAGATACATAGACCATCATTTAATGAATTTAATCACAGAGCTT